CTAGAATAAAAGATTCTTTACCTCTATCATAAAAGAGATTTTTAAAGTCTTGAAAGAACCAATATAATATATATATATAATTTACCTACATAAAAAAATATAGCACTCAAGAGGGTAAAATTCAAAATGTATAATCAGCACCCCAAAATAACTGTGCATATGAAGAAGCAAGAAAAGATGCCCCCATGAGTCAATAGAAACAGACATAGAAATGACACAAGTGGTGAAATTAACAGCCAAAAATGTAAAATTGCTATTATAACTAGGATCTTTATATTCAAGGGGGGAAATGGAACTTATAGAGGTGAAAAATATATCTGAAATGAAAACAATGAAGATAGAATAACAAAATATTGGATACTACAGAAGAAGAGGTTCATGAACATGAAGTAGATAGCAATTGAAACTGTTCAAAATGAAACTGAGTGGGGGAAAACCTGAAATATATGAAGAAAACCTCAGGGACTTGTGAGACAACATCACACACTCTAACATAAGTATAATTGGAATCATGGGAGGAGCAGAAACCAAAAAACTTTTGAATAATGGTCAATTTTTTCCCAAATTTGATGAAAACTATAAGCCCACAGATCTTAAAAATTTAACAGTTTCCAAGTCGAATGATCATAAAGAAAAGCAAAGCCTTCCATAGTCCAGTTGTTGAAAACCACTGGGCTTGGTGGCTCACACTTATAATCCCAGCTGCTTGGAAGACTGAGGCAAGAGGCTAGCAAGTTGGAGGCCAGCCTCAGCAACTTGGTGAGACCCTGTCTCAAAATAAAAAATAAAAAGAGCTGGGAATGTGGCTAAGTTGTAGAAAGCCCCTGGATTCAATCCCTAATTTTGTTGTTGAAAACCAATTATAAAGAGAAAATGTGAAAAGCAGGGAGAGGAAAAAAAGACGTGTTACATAGAGAAACAAGGATAACAATATACCAAACTTTTTAATGTGTATGTGCAAAAAAAGCAATGTCATTGAGTTCTTTTAAAAGTGCTGAGGGGGCTGGGGTTGTGGCGCAGTGGTACAGCACTTGCCTAGCATGTGTTCGATTCTCAGCACCACATATGAATAAATGACTAAAATAAAGGTTCATCAACATCTAAAAAAAATCTTTTAAAAAAAGTGCTTAGGAAAATAAATGTCGGCTAGAATTTTTATGTATAATTAAACTATCTTTCAAAAATAAAGATGAAATGAAAACTTTCCAGACATACAAAAGCAGAAATAATTCTTGTCAGCACACCTGTGCAACCGAAATGTGTAAGGAAGTTTTTTAGACAGAAAGAAAATGATACCAGAAGTAAATTTAGATTTATACAGGAGGGTTAACCAGTATCAAAGGATAAATATAAAAGATAATTTTTCCTCATTTTAAAATTTCTGAAAAAGTTAATCAGTTGTCAAGGTGAAAGTAATGCCTTGACAGTAGCACACGGAATGCAGCAGGGGCAGGAGACACATGTTATAAGACTAACTGTATCTGAAGTGAGTGGCTAGTATTTGAAGATTGACTATAGTAAGTTAGTTTGTATTGTAAGCCCTAACTAAGCAGGGTTGAGCAAACTGTGATCCACAGGCCAAACCCAGCCTGCTGCTTACTTTTTGTAAAGAAAGTTTGTTGGAACACAGCTATGCTGTGCCTATTTGTTTACGTATTGCCCACGGCTGCTTTTGTACAACAGTGGAAGTTTGTAGTTCAACAAATCGTAAGACCTGTAAAATCTAAAATACTTAATACTTGGCCCTTTACAGAAAGAGTTTGCCAACACCTGCTTGACAGTAACCCTTTAAAAAAAAAAAAAAAAAAAAAGCAATCCAAGAACCCAAGAAGGTATAATTAAAAGCTAACGGTAGAGATTAACATAATTATAAAAAATATTCAGTTTATCTTTAAGAAAGGGTAAGAAAGAACAGAGGAAAATGGAAAAACAGTTAAGTCAAATAAGAAGTATGCAGCAAGATGGTATACTTAGCCATACTGACAATTACATTGAATGCAAATTTTATATATAATTTTTAAAATATTTTTAGTTGTAGTTGGATACAATACTTTTATTTTATTTATTTATTTTTATGTGGTGCTGAGGATCGAACTCAGCACCTCGCACATGCCAGGTGAGCTCTTTACCGCTGAACCCCAGCCCCAGCCCCAGCCCCATATACATAATTTAATTAAAAGTTAGATTGTCAGTTTGGATAAAATAGCAAGACCCATATGCTTTAGACAGGAAACCCACTTTGAATTTGAAGACATGGATAGGTTAAAAGTAAAAGGATGGTAAAAGTCCTTTCTCTGTCCTGCAGGGGATTTATTTCAGGAAGCCCCTGAGATACCAAAATCTACATATACACAATTCCTTTTTATAGCAAGGTGTGGTACTTGCATGTTACCTACACATCTCGTCTTTTATACTTCAAATCATCTCCAGATTACTTACAATGCCTACACAAAGAGAATGCTGTGTTAACAGTTGTTATATACCGTATTGTTTATTGAATGACAAGGAAAAAAGTGGGTACATGTTCAGTGAAGGCATTTTTTTTCAAATATTTTTGATACGCATATGATTCTGCCACAGATACAGAGGGCCATCCGTACCAAGAAAATATCCACACAGAGACTTCTAAGCAAACATCATAAAAGCTTCATTTATAGTAACCAAAGACTAAAACAACCAAATGTCCATCAACATGTGAATGGATAAAGAATTGTGATATCTCTATATAGATATGCTACTCACAAACAAATGAGCTATATTTACATACAACATCAACAAATGGCATAATCATGTTAAGGGAAAGAAACCCGGTACAAAAGGTTACATGCTGTGTGATTCTATTAACATAAAATACTATAAAATCAAACATAAGGGGCTGGGGTTGTGGCTCAGCGGTAGAGCGCTTGTCTCACGCGTGTGAGGCACTGGGTTCTATCCTCAGCACCACATAAAAATAAATAAAATAAATAAAGATATTGTGTCCATCTTTAAAAAAAATCAAACATAATCTGTGGTAACAAAAATCAGGTCATTTGCTAGAATTAACTCAGGAAATTTGGGAGAATAATAGAAACATTCTTTATCTTAATTCTTGTTTCAAAACTCATCAAATGTCCACTTAAAATATATTAAGAGTCTAATTTTTTAGGGCTGGAGGTGTAGTTGGGTTGGTAGAGCGCTTGCCTAGCATGTATGAGGCCCTGGGTTTAATCCCCAATACCACCAAAAAAAGAAGAAGAAGAAGAAAAATGTATTTCGTTATTTGCAAGCTCTATCTCAGAGTTATTTTTTTTAAGAGAGAGAGAGAATTTTTTAATATTTATTTTTTAGTTATCGGCGGACACAACATCTTTGTATGTGGTGCTGAGGATCGAACCTGGGCTGCACGCACGCCAGGCGAGCGTGCTACCGCTTGAGCCACATCCCCAGCCCTCAGAGTTATTTTTTTAATTCAAATCATGAATGTTCTAGTGTGAAATTTTTGTATTCACTGTAAGTCTTATACATTATTAGAATGGGCAAGGAAATAAAATGTAAATGACAACTATGGAAAGTTTGATGCTTTTGGAATCTCCAGCCAATTACTCTCACCTTTCTCCAAACTATTTAATTTTGAGGGGTATGAATCCTTGGATGCATAGTGGAATGCAGCTTTTAATTCTTAAAAGGAGAAAATAAAAAAACATCATCACTTATGTATCAGATGGTGTGCTGTTTTAAGTGGTTTGTTTCACTTATTTCTCAGGATGGCTCAGTGACTTAGTGATTAAACCCATTTTATATGTGCAAATGTGAGGCTCAGAGAAGTTACACAAACCCCCAAAGATACAGAGCCAAGATTCAACCCTAAATTTGACTCCAAAGCTTCTCCTCCTCTCCTTCCCTCCTCCTCTCCCTCCCCCGTCCTCCCTCCTCTCCCTCCCCCCTTCTCCCTCCTCCTCTCCCTCCCCCCCTTTCCTCCTCCTCTCCCTCCCCTCTCCTCCCTCCTCCTCTCCCTCCCCTCTCCTCCCTCCTCCTCTCCCTCCCCCCCTTTCCTCCTCCTCTCCCTCCCCCTCCTCCTCTCCCTCCCCCTCTCCTCCTCCTCCTCCTCCTCCTTCTTCTTCATGCTAACAGCAATTTTAAATGTTTAGTTGCTTGTGTGAAATTTTCTGGTTTAAAACTTTATTTTAAAAATTCATTTGAAAAGTATTCTGAAAGGATATTATTTGACATTCATTTTATGGACTAAGACTCTCTAAATCAAGGCTACTAAGGACAAAAAACAAGGAAATAAGAAATTTTTGCCATTCAATTATAGAAGATCCCTGTAATTCTATAGCTTATAATATTTTCCTTCATAACTTTTTGTTATAAAATCCCAAATAGTTGAGTTATGGCTTCTGGCTAAGCTCAGGATGATGGTCCAAAGGACATGAAAGGAATTAGTTTTGGTTATATCATGTTAATATTGTATAAGAGAATGCTTCTTAGGCGCTTTGGAATAACATTGTATTCTAAATAATGAGTTTACTCCTTGAGCATGAGCCTAATTTATTAGTGTATTTTAAGAAGATATTGATCCCTAGTGATTTTTTAAAGCCCTGGAATCCAAGAGCCACCTCTTAATAGGCTGTGGAGTCTGGCCCTGCTGTCCCTGGCTACTTTTTAAAATGTTAATGGAACCAGGACTTATATTCACCAGTGCCAAGAACTCTACCTCTTATTCCTAAGAATGCCTCTGTTTGACACCCAGAAGACAATTCCATGCCTATTTTTTTTTATTATTTCTTTGGTTTTTTTCATATCCAAAAAATAAATTCCTTAGGTCTCTTTGATCTTCCGTAGCCAGTTCCCTGACCAACCTACAACTAAAAGCTAAAGGGCATAGTCATAAACACTCTCTGAAAACATTTTAAGCCACACTAATAATAATAGACTCCATGTGAAAAAAATAGTAGTAATATGGCTTTAACTTATAAAAAAATTTAGTTATCATATATTTGTGTATCTTTTCCATTCAGATGTGACAGTGGTTTATCAAAATGGGTTACCAGTGATATCCGTAAGGCTACCATCCCGGCGTGAACGCTGCCAGTTCACACTCAAACCTATCTCAGACTCCGTTGGTGTGTTTTTACGGCAACTGCAAGAAGAGGATCGGGGAATTGACAGAGTTGCGATCTATTCTCCAGGTATAGTCACCTTCGTTTTTAATTTTCACATGCTCTCATTTCTCCCCACACTATTTCTAGACATACAGACACAGGTCACAGCAAAAGAATATCATACTGTTAATTTTAGAAAGCTTTTTGCTTAGCAAGTGCCAGAAGACACCAATTTTTCTCCCAGTAGTTCTCAGGGTATAATTATTCAGTTTTAGCAAATGTATATGCACAGGGAGTCTCATTCTAAAGCAACTCACACGTAATGCCATGGGCAAGGATGAGCAGTCAAATCACATTTTATGTTATGGAAACCTTTCTCAGTACCTTAGGCATTGAATAAATTTTTCTAATAGTTGAGCCCTCATCCCTGGAGAAATATTAGATCTTCTTTTTAGATCTTCTTATGTTTTTCACATAAATAGAGCATATAATTTGAAAAGAATATAAAATAAGTCACTAAAAATTCCCATTTGATATATAATATGTTTAATTAATTATTTTTAAGTGCCTTAAATTTTTTTCTTTTGGAAAAATTCAAAACCTACAGAAAACTTGAAAAACTAATATAATAAGTACCTATTTACCTTTTACCTGGTCAGTTATTAACAACTGCCACATTTCTGTTTAAGTATTTTAAATATATGCCCAATTGATCTAGTAATGTAATTAATAGACCAACTTGGTGTACTTGGCTCACCCTATCATCCATCCCTGCTGAATTAATTAGCAACGAATCTTGAGTATACAGAAAAGCACCATATGCTAGAAAACATTGGCTTTTTAAAAAATTAACTTAGCCAGCTTCCATCATAGACAAATGTAAGAAGTCCATTTAGCTTTCTCAGTGACCCTAGATTTCCAACTGACATCTAAAATATATAGTCAGAAATTATTTCACGTGTTAATACAGTTGCAGTAAAAATGTTTTGTTAAATCACTTTTGAGACCTATGAACAAAGAGCTTCAGACAATCTAAACTTTGACCATAGAGCTGGGGTGTGAAGCAAAAGATTAACTGGAGTTTAGAAGAGAAGAGATAATTTTAAAAACCTGCTTTGAGGATTGCTTTTTCCTGACCATTCTTGAATAATTATGGACATATGACAAATTTAATTTCAAATTTTCACAGATGGCGTTCGAGTTGCTGCCTCAACAGGAATAGACCTCCTCCTCCTTGATGACTTTAAACTGGTCATTAATGACTTAACATATCATGTACGACCACCAAAAAGAGGTAAAAAAAAAAAAAAGTAGCATTCATAAGGCAGGAAGGGTGTTGGGGAAGAACTTTATTTTATGTGCTTCCATGTTCTCTTAAACATTGTAACTGGCATTAATCTCTCTCTCTCTCTCTTTTTTTTTTTTTTTTTTTGGTGTTAGTAGGAATTGAACTCAGGGACCTTAGGCATAATAGGCAAGCACTTTAGCACTAAGCTACAACCCAAGCCCTTTTTATTCTTCTTTTGTGGCAGAGTCTTGGTAAGCCCAGGCTGACCTAGAACTTGGCCATCCTCCTTGCCCCATCCTCCCCAGTAGCTAAGATTATAGACATGCACCACTGCACTGAACTCTGTTGTCTTGAAAAGAATATGAAATAAGGCATTAAAAATTCCCATTTGATATAACATCTGTTTCATTTATTTTTAAGTGCCTTAATCTTTAGTCTGAAAGTCAGTTATTGTACACATGCTCCTTGGTTTATAATGGGGTTTATAAACCTATCATAATTTAAAATACTGTAAATTGAAAATGCATTTAATACACCTACCAACTGGCTATCACAATTTAACCTAGTCTACCTTAAACTTGCCTACAACATGCACATTAGCCCACAATTGGGCACAGCCGTCTAACACAAAGCCCGCTTTATAATGTTGACAATCTCATGTGCACTCACAGATGGGTGTTTTAGACATGATGGGATGCAAAAACCCAAAACACAGTATCCATAAAACAACAACATAACACACTGCAGATGTGGGTTATTTAGTCTCATGACCACGTGGCTGACAGGGAGATGCAGTTCACTGCTGCTGCCACCCAGCGTCACAGAGTACATCGTGCTGCACAACACTAGCCCAGGAAAAGGTCAAGGTTCAGACTGTGGCTCCTACTGAATGCATATCATTTTTGCACCAACACAAAATAAAAAAATCCTAAGTGAGAACCCTCTTTACAATAGTGGTCATTAAAAACTTTTGAAATATGTGTGCTTTTGTGTGAAAAAAAGTAAGGTGCTCACCTAAGGTACAAATTTTAAGAGAATACCATCTTTGGTATTTAATAATCAATATAATTAATGTAATCAAGATAAATAACATTTTAATCCCCTTTTTTTCTTTTCATTTCTTCCTTTTGTTTGTTTGTTTTGGGGATTTTGGGGGGAGGGAGAGTTTGTTTTTGTTATTTTCGTACCAAGGATTGAACCTAGGGGCACTTAACCACTGAGCCACATCTCTAGCTGTTTTTTATTTTCTATTTTGAGACCCTCTCAGAGGGTCTCTCTGTGTTGCCCAGGCTGGCCTCAAGCAATCATCCTGCTCAACCTCCCATGGAACTATAGGCATGCACCATTTCCTACTTGAAAAGCAAAAACAAAGTTAGTGCAAAAAAAAAAAAATCCATAATGAACAAAATACAAAAATTTAAAAGAGTCAATATTACCATTTTTATTTTCATTCTTAGCTCCAATATGGCTCTGCACAGTATGGATGCTAAATAACCCTCGAAAATATCATTTTGAGTTGTATCTTTTTGGATCACTTCTCTCTTTGCCCTTGATATTCATTGTCAATTCCTGCTGCTGTTGATGCCCCTTGCACACTGTTCCTTCCATCAGCCTCCTAGGACTTTCCTGCTTTTGAACCTGCTTTTAATAATTGGATCTAGCCAGACCTAGTGGCACACGCCTGTAATCCCAGCATTCAGGAGGCTGAGACAGGAGGATCACGTGAGCCCAGATAGAAAAAGTTCCAACTGAAGGCCTAAGTTTTAAATACCTCTATAGTCTAGTGGTTCTCTTTCCCTCCCTCTGTCTTTCCCTGCCTTTCCTCATTCTGGATTCCTTCACTGTTTTCTGAACTGTGCTCCATTCTTTGCCATCTCTGTTTGCTCATGCTTCCTTTGCATAAGATGCCTTTTCCTCCTACTTCCTCACTCCTTATTTTCTCATGTCAAAATTATCACTGTCAGCTCCTCCATGACATCTTGATGACTCTATTCTTTCTTCCTCTGACGCCCAATCAAACAGAGGTGATCTGTCTCTTCACTCAGTTCTGCTTGATTCTGTGACTTGTATTCCCCATCAACTCAGGGGGTCCTTCCACGTTAGGGAACAAAACAGGTTAACTGTAGTAACATTTGGTTGTTGCGAGGCCACATTCTCTTCTTTGTTCAGTTGGTTGAGATGGTAACTAGATGAACTAAATAATAAGATCTTATTGAGGGCTGGAGTTGTGGCTTAGTGGTAGATTGCTGCTTGCCTAGCATGTGTGAGGCACCGGGTTCAATTCTCAGCACCACATACAAATAAATAAAAATAAAGATCAATCAACAACTAAAACATATTTTTTAAAAAAGACTTTATTGAATCAGATTTTAAATTGGAATAACTGAACATGTAGACCAGGAACCGCTAGCTGTCAACTATGCTTATGTGTTATTTTTCTTTATTCCTAGAAATTCTCTAAAACAACAGAAGTACAGGCCTTATTATACTCAGTGTTTTTTGTGAAATACATAAAGAATTCATTCTGTTTAGATTTTCTTTTGTATTGCTAACATTTTAAAAGTTGACTGATAATTCCTGTGTAAAGTGTAACAATAAGAAAAATTAAGATATAAGCTTCCACATGTTATGTTGTCACAAACTGAAGGTATTTTGAACTATGACTGACCAACTTTTGTTTAATATTGTATTTTTCAAACAAAAGTGAATGTTTGGGGTTTTTTGTTTTATTTTATTGTTGTTTTGTTTTTGTTTTTTTTCTTTTTGACAGGCTATTTCCAGGACAAATAAGGAAAGCTAAGGTAGAAAATTAAAATGGGGCAGGTGCGGTAGCACACACATGTAATTTCAGAAGCTGGGGAAGCTGAGGCAGGAGGATCCTGAGGCAAGTTCAAAGCCAGCCTCAGCAAAAGTGAGGCTAAGCAACTCAGTGAGACCCTGTCTCTAAATAAAATACAAAATATGGGGATGTGGCTCAGTGGTCACGCACCCCTGAGTTAATCCCTGGTACCAAAAAAAAAAAAAAACAAGGAAGAAAGAAAATAATTGGGGAATTATTTATATTTTATTTACTGGTGTTGGCAGCACTAACAGTTCTTTCTTTGTATCTCAGAAACTTCTTCTGTAGAAGTAGTTTAAGGTCTGAGGTTTGCAAGGGTCAAAAGTCTGTAATTTACACGAAAAATTGCAAATTGAAGGGTAAAATTCAGTGGCATCAGTAGCAATATTCTTGTAGAATTTTAAAAGACTATTTATGTATGCTATTTTTTATTTACTTATTTTTGCATTGCTGGGGATCCAACCCAGGGCCTTGCACATGTTAGGCAAGTACTCTACCACTGAGCTACATCCTCAGCCAACTTTAAAAAACTTTTCAACATTTAAATTCATACATCAAAATGCTCTTACCTCTGCTTTTAGCCTATGAGAGATCTCTCATAGGCACTCAAATAATATTGTTTAAGTCCCCATTTTGTTTTCCCTGATTTTTAAACTACAGTAAAGAAAAAAAATTAATAAAGTGCAAAACAAGTTTTAATTTTACTTACCACATACCACATTCCTGTCTCTTATTGAGGCGGGTGCTGTTGGTGTCTGAGGCACCACTGATCTCTTTCAACTGAGTGCATTAAAGTAAGAGAACAGTTTGAATTTCTGTATTTAGGAAGGATGCAGTCCATTCTAATGAGTAAGTAGGTTCCCCTTCCCCACATTGTAACTCTTTAGAGAAGGCTAAGTGGAGGAAAGAAATTGAAGGCAGTATAAAGGCTTTGAGTGTCAGATAATGAACATTAATACTAGGGATTTTATATACATGGTTTTTGCCAAGTAGCTGAGATTGGCTTTGAATTTACAATCCTCCTGCCTCAGCCTCCCAGGCCTCCCTGAGACTATGGTGTGTGCCATCTCACCCAGCATTCATTTCTCTCTCTCTCCCTCTCCCCCATTCTCTCATTTGTTTTTTTCCCTGTTGATGGGAATCTTGGAACTAAAAATACCCTATGAGTGTCATATAAACTATAATTTCATATACCAGACACTGAGGCCAGAGGCTTATTCATATAGAGTTTAATATAGCAACATTCCATGATTATGTGAGATTGGAAGTTTGTAGGTGTTGTGGATCCTTAAGTGTTGATAGCCTGACCAAAGTTGGAACAAGGAAACATATCACAACAGTAAGGCTAGCAGCTCCATAATATTCTTTTTTTATATTTTATTTTAATTGTAGTTGGACACAATACCTTTATTTTTATTTTTTTTATGTGGTGCTGATGATTGAACCCAGCTCCCTGCATGTGCTAGGCGAGCGCTGTACCACAGAGCCACAACCCCATCCCTCCATAACCTTCTTTTAGTAATCAGAGCTGTATTTAACTGGATTCCTCTCTAACCACTGCAGGACGAGAGGAGTAACCTATCTCATTTAGACGGTTTCAAAATTTAATTAAACCTAAAATGGAAGAAAGATTCTAGAAAGGATCACAAAAAGCCCTTCACCCAGTCTATGCCAAAGTAAAATTAACTACCTCTCTCCTATTCTTAGAAAAAGAGAGAACATATCCTATATCACTAGAGGATAGAATGTGTGTGTGTGTGTGTGTGTGTGTGTGTGTGAGAGAGAGAGAGAGAGAGAGAGAGAGAGAAAGAGAGAACAAGAATGAACCCAGGGCTTTCTATATTAGAAAGCATACTTTTTGTGCTAAGGAGAATCAGTCTGATTGGTACCACTAAATCCCTTCTCCTATTTATCCATCCAGAGTATATTGAAGACCTTGTTTCTCTCTTAATGATATAAATTATTTAAGCAAAGAAGTTGAGTAGACAAACCAAATACCAACAATAATGATTGCCTCATTAGAGCCCAAATATCCAAAATCCTTCCCAAACCACATTTGTGGCTGAAAAAAAAAATTTCAGTGCCCGTTATATTAGCATGTCTCCCCTGTCTTTCTGTACCTTAATTATCCTGGAATCAATAGCCTGTACAGTAACATTAATAAACA